GGCCGGGGGGCGCGCTGGGCATGGGGGATGTCGGCTGGCGCCGGCGGCCTTAGTTTTTTCCGGCAGTTGGGGGGACGGTGGACTTTTATTGGCGGGTGCACGGTGACCTGTGCGGCGCGTTTGCTGCCGGGCTGGGGCTTGCTGCTGGTGTCTCTCTCCGCTGGCTTTCGCTGTCGTGTTGTTCCGTTTGCTCTCTCTCATTTGCCCGACCTCGCACGCGGGATTCGCGGGGGCTGCTGGGCATGGGTGTCGCCGTGCTCGCGCAGTGTGCGCGTTGGGCTCGTCACTTGTGCATTGGTGTTGATGATTGCGTGGCATTTGGGCATTGTGGTTGTTTGCTGCGCGGCGGTGGGGTGCTGGATGGGGGAGGCCACTGGTCTATGTTGTGTCTGCGACGCGGTCGGTCCGGGCGCTGCTCTTCCTCTTTTGCGTTCCGTCGGCATTACGTTGTCAACTGGCATTTGGGTCGGGGTCTTCTGCGTTTGCATCGCGGTGCATCTGGGAGTCTTTGTTTTTTTTTGATTTGATTTATTCTTTTTCTTTCTTCCACCCCTATTGGCTACTGGGGTTCTTGCCTGCCTGTTACAGTCGTGGCGTCCCACTCTCTCTAACAACTACATTCTTTAACAGGCTTATGCGCACACACATGTACATACACACATACAGACACATTCACCCACACGCACACAGACACACAGACACAAACAAACTTAGGTTGTCCCTGGTAGAATTATTCCTGATGCCTTTCTTTCAGTTACTTATTTAAATTAATTATTATTCCAGCTCTCGTGGCTGTGTTGTGTTGCTTATTTAGTGTGTGTGACTGTTTCTTGTTTTCATTGTTCTCTTAGTTGTCTTAATATGTCATTAATATGTCAGCTGTTTATTGCTGCTGTTCGGCTGGTTTTCTTTTACTATTATTATTATTTTTATTGTTTTTTTTGTTTGTGTTTGTTTGTTGTTGTTTTTCTCCTCCCCAAGCCCCCCTCTCTGTTCTCTTGCAGGTTTCGTTGCTTTCTGCAATTGGTGTTTCCCACAGCTTTTCCCTGTTGTCCCCACCCTCCATCCCCCTTTCCCCCTTCTCTTGCAGGTGTTGTCCTTTCTCTGTGCTGTCTGTTTGTGCCCCCCCATCCCCGTGTCTGCCCCCCTGTCCGGCCCGGTGACAAATCAATACATAATTAAATAAATAATAAAACAGACAAAGGAGTATTTTAATACTCTCTTGTTAAAGTAAAATCTGTCTGGCACAATATGGTATCCAGGTCATTATACTCTATACCAGGCTGCTGGGCAGGACAGGTTTAAAAAAAAAAAAAAAAAAAAAAAAAAAAAGATATCATATCATCAGCAAGAGGCAGAACGATGTGCAAAGGCAGTCCCACAGGCAAAACAGAGCCAATGGACTAGCTGAGAAAACATAAACACCAGAAGCTTCCTGGAAGGATCTTTGGGCAATGGAATGAAGCAGACTTATGCTGTGTCTCAATTCGGGTACTTCCTTAAGTATACTAACATGCAGTACACTTCATACTATTTCTGTTGTTTATTTTATTTTTATTTTCAAGTATCACAAGCCAAGCAACAGAGTAACAAAGGTACAAACAATAAAACTATCTTACAGCTGTGTTTTCCTCTGCCGTTGTTGCAGGAGTCAGCTGCTGCAGGCCTTCCCCCCGTCTGCGCTTGCAGAGCTTCTCAACTCTGAAAACATCTGAGCAAATATTCGATTCGCCATAAATTTTCATAAAACTGCCTATATTGAACATCTACACATTTGACTTCTCGCCTCAAAACTGCTCAGAAGTGGATTTAGTGATGAAATACTGTACAAAACTTGTAAAAATCATTCCGTTGTTGGCCTCTCTCTCTCTCTGCTCCTTTTTGCTTCTCCTGTGTTTTTGGCCCCTCCCCTTCCGCTACGTAACTAAAGTGGCGGCTGTTGAGGGTGAGAAGTGTCCAGCGTTCCACATTCAACTTTTTGGCCGTTATGAGTGCACCATCCGGGTACTCGCAGTGCACTGCATTTTGCCGTAGTTCTCAGTGAACGCACTTATGCCCTCAAAATAGTAAGTGCAAGTATGGAAGGGTGCGAATTGAGACATTAGCTTCATCATCAGAGCCATCTACAATGCTCTTCTCAGTCCCATAACCTGAACCAGTGGCTTGGAGAAAACCTCACCCAAGAACACTACACCTGGAGATCTCCCCCAACCCTTGGCTTCTCAAACACCATGGCCTTTGTGCCAGGAAAAAAGGCACCAAAGAGGTCAACAGCATGAAAACAGACCAGGATTAGAAGATTAAGGTCAGTCTAGACCAGAATTTTACCTTTCCACCAGATACATTACAACCAGTCTCAGGCTGGATCTGATCCTGTGGTCTGTCATACAATAGGGCCTGTTCATCATAGAACTGACAGTGCCATGGAAGGATGCAGTTGGTGAAATGTAAATGCAAAAAGCTAAAGTACTCCGATCTAGCAACTGAAGCAGAACAAAAGCTCCCCAGGGAGCGCCTCTGTTCTGCCTGTACAGACAGGTGAGCTGCAGGGGTGTCTTGGCCATGTCAGCCACTGGGCTGCTGAAAGGGATGGGAGTCGTGAGACAGGCTCACCGGCAGGCTGTCAAGTCACAGGCAAAGGCCGCAGAGTGTAGCAGCAACTGGCTCTGGCTAAAAAGAAAGTACAAGAACTGGGTGGCAAGATTACCATCACAGGTGCGGTAAACGCAGAGGGAGGTGCACCTGGAACACCAAGTGTCACTGTTGAGCCATCTGGATTTGTCATGAGACTATCAACGGAACACCAAAGTAAGAGGGTGCCCACCTGATAACCGCAGTGAAGCATTTACCCCCACGCAGCTCTGGGATCAGCTGGTCTGGTCACTGTTACAATAGTGACTTGTCAGATTTATTATGTGTTCATAACAATATCAATATCATAACAGAAATTGTTTGATTATGGCTGTGAACTACAGTATTTCTTTATCCAGAACATCACAGTGGAGACTAATCTGGATACACCATTTACTTACATGTAGTATAGTTTTCCATCATATGGGCTTCTGTGTAGGAAATTATATAAAGTTTTGGTTTCAGTAAAATATGTAGTACAGTACATAGTTGGGATTCCAGACCAATTCCAGATCCAACCCTAAGCTATAAAAAATGCGCTGATATCGCTCATTGGGCCGACAGATCAGACCCCTTTTAGCAACTGATGAGATTAGTAGATATGTTGAGAGAAACACAGAAGAGTATATCCTTAAGATTTGTTGTTTTGGACTTTGTACATATTGGCATCTCTTCAGTTTGCTTTTATAAATCCACAAAATAAACCCTTAATAATCACATTTATTAGCCTCTCATTATTCTTGTTACTGTAACAAAATCTTTTTGTGTACTTCTCTTTTTTTGAGTACTATTTTACTTTAATACTTTTTATGCCAAACATTGTACATTTCAAGTCACATCCATTACATAGTAAATTGTATGAGAATGGAACACAAGATATCAAATCAGCCGCTCCAGCAGAGAAGAAGTGATGTGTCTGCGGCCGCAGGAGGGCAAAGCTCCATGTCCACAGAGGGGACACTCTGGAAAACATCCATATTGAATACGTTCACTTATCAAGTGCCAGGTTGGTATGGGGGAAAAAGAAAAAGGTTTGCATCTACTTATTATTCATTCATTCAATGCACTACCTAAATCAAACACACCAAAGATATTGCCATGGTTGGGGAGTAACAGATTACATGTAACAGAGTTATGGAATCAGGGTACAAAAAACCAACACGGAACCCAAAAAAACATTAATGCAAATTGTGCAGCGCGGTAAAAAGCCAGCAGCAAATGCCTGCCATTACCCAGATCTGATCTGTATTCACATCGAGAGCATCACCAAGGTCGGGCCCCAGCGTGACCCACTCTGCACTAACAACGTTAACCCCTGCAACTCTAAGCTAAGCGACCTCTGGAAAGCCTTTGGATCTACACCAACATTAAAAGCGGAGGTGCTCTGTACATATGGTTACTTTGCAAGTAATTGTGGGACTACTAGAAAACTACTACTAGACTACTAGAAAAGTTGAATCTAGAGCAGATTGAGTAGGTAACAGCATTAATAATAATAAAAATAATTAATTAAAATAATTAAATTAGTACATGTAAAAGTAAATAAAATACAAGTAGTTATTTTAAAAGGAATCATAAAATGGAGGGGATGGAAAGAAAGGGAGGGAAGAACATGTATAAGGTAGTCAGTTAAAAATTGAAGTGTAAAATGGAGGGAAGGGGTGAGAAAGAGGTTAGAAAGAGATGTGCTTGAATGATGGCCGGGTGTTTGCAACTCAAAAGGCCCTGTCACCCAAGGTCCGGAGCTTAGACCTGGTGGTGTTGATGAAGCCAATGATGCTAAGTGAAAAGGTCTGGGTGGAGCGGGTGAAGGAATCTGAGCTGATGATGAGGATTTCAGATTTATTGAAGTTGAGTTTGAGAAAGTTCTGTTGCATCCATGACCTTATGTCTGATGAGTACAACAACAAATTTAATTGTTGAAGATGATATTGCTTGCAATGTAGCATGTGTCTTTTGCTGTGTTTATTTTACTGCTGATTCTTTAAGAAGTATCAAACAATTTGATTTATGTGGCTCAATAATACTTTCCATGGTGTCCATATACTTTATTTTATGTATTTTATGTAGTTATGTCCTATTTTCTCGTTCATTCTGGTGAGGCTACATAGAGGAAGGCGGTTCTATATTTAGACTCTATTGAGTTTGTGCTGGTTTATTATTAGGGTTCAAACCCCAAAGGGGTAGAACCTGTATGCTCAGGCTGCAAAGGACGTCTGTGGAATTTATTACTGGTTTGGACATCAGGGCTCTGTGATGTTGTTATACTAGTGTATACATTAGCATTTAATGCAATTTATTTATCAGCCCCCCCCACCCCCCACCCCAGCAGTGCTGTAGAGGGAAAAGGTGGAGATGTTCCCACTTACACATCAAAGCGTAGGTTCTGCTTCTCTTCAAAGAAGAAATCAAGGACAAACTTCCTCACAAAGTCAGGGTTCAGTGTGTTGTCAATAACTTCTGTCCGACCAAACTGGAGGAAAAACAGAGACAAGAGAAACAGAGACGAAATGAAAGTCAACGCCATGCTAATCAATCTGTACATTCAGTAAGAGGGGAACTCATGAAACACTGTAGGAGAGTAACTCCTGCTGTTGTGCTGTTTGTTTTGTGGGTTCCCAAGTTCTCAAGTAGCAGATTAGTCATTTACATGTCTGAACCGATTTTCTTACTTGGACTAAAAACGACCCAGTTACATTTATGCTCAGTCCATTTCCATTTTGGGGGAAATGTCAATTAAATATATTTCTTTGGTTTTGGAAGCTCCACAATGGTCATCAAATGCAGGGAGAGCTGCCAAAGTTGTTCAATTTTAAAATCCAGTGATTTACAGAATCAATTTAAGTATCTTATTATCTCAAGATAACAAATGATGGTTTTGCTGAGCTGATTAGGTATAACAGGCAGAAATTGGAACCCCGTGTCTGCGCCACAAGGGGCCCATGAAAAACGTACTTTTTAAATGTTGTTGAGTAAATGGCACTTATCCAAATCTAGTCAGTTATTGTATTTATACCGCCATTACATCTTAATTTCCAAGATATTTAACATCATTAGTTGAGTTCAAACCGTGACACCATGTCAAAGAATGGGTTAGCTATAAATGTTCCTCACACCAGCTCTGAACTGGGGAAGACCAGTTTCTGGTACTATGCACCTGCTGGAATGAACTGCAAAACAAACTGAGATGCTCATTCACATATTCATGTAATACTTACTCACATACTGTACTTCTGTCTCTGTAAATAATATCACACAGTGTGGTCTAGTCTCTTTTATGAGCGCTATGAGATAATTGTTGTTGTGATTTGGCGCTATAAATTAAATTGAATTGAAGATCTCTCCGCCGTCGCTGCCTGAAGCTACACTTTCCCTGTCTTCGCGACTGTAACTTCCACTAACCACTAAGACGCTGTTGACACAATGTACAGATAACCTGCAGCCCCTGCTGGAGCTTGAGAACTACACAACAATCAGTATTTAATGATTAATTAGGCTATAAACAAAACCCATGTTAAGTCTAATTTTCGGGGAGAAACCGGACAGCCGTCAGGACAACTGCTCTTAATTTTTTCGGGACATCCGGTCACCCTATTTTCTCACATAATTGAACCTCCTGTTGATTGCTGTACAAATACACACTCTTTCCTCCACTCACAAGACAATCCTATCATGCTCTCTGGCAGGTGACAGTGATGAGCCATCGATCTGACAAATACCTGTAACGCCCACCCCCGTCTCTGTTCCTGCTCTCCTCAGTCAGTCAAACACAATACAGTAGAGACAAGAAAATCTTGGATGGATTTCTGCTGGGTTAGATTGTCACTAATTTATTAAGCATCATGTTTTAGTGATGGTGTGTCCATAATCAGTTTTTGTTGTATATTACAAGACAGCCACAGGAGAGTTTAACAATATAATTAGCATAATGTTATGACCGAAGGAAATAAAACAATTGTGTTTTAAATAGTCCCAAATTATCACATCTATGCAGTGCTTGAAGTGGTAAAGAAATAGGTGCCAGGTCTCCATTTACATTCACGAAAAGTGACATTGACAAGCTTGTTTCAGCACACGGCTGCATGAAAGGCACCAGAGAATTCTTCTCCCTCTTCTGTCCTCGTCGAGGAACACATGAGCATTTCATAGTGCCCAGAAAACCTGATATGGAGAGGGCAGAGACGAGCACCAGAAGCTTGTGAGAAGTTCCGGTACGCAAGAAAAACTATACCATAACTTTTGGGGAACATTTCTTACTGCTCAGTCATTAATAGCTACAAGCATGTAGGCCTGGGGCTGACAGTGAACGTATCAGGCATGTTTGTCTTATTATCCATGAGAGGGAAGAATTTAGAAAGTTGCATTGCACTGCGGAGAGCCCCCAGCTGCAGTAGTGCGTGGATCATGCATAATGTTCATCCAACTAGAGGGAACGATCACAAACCGTTCACAGCGCGTTGGTCGTACTAGCAACACAACCCGTACCGGAGAGGCAGTGGGGCGGACCAGGGACAGGAGATCAGGGAGCGACTGGCCCACTGCGTACGGTGGGTGATAGTTCCTTCTGGCTGGATAAAGTCTGACGCTCCGCATAATCCATGATGATACAGAAATATAGAGATTAATGTCATTAAAACATGCTGTCAATATTTTAGAGAGCCCCCAAAATATCACAAATCATGCTTTTAGGGGAGCTAAGCTCCCCCTGGCTCCCCCGTAGTTCTAGGCCTATTCGATTGCTAAATTCTACATAATCACTGTATTCTGCTAATCACTCACTCATTGCATTTAGTTTATTGCTATTTTCATTGATATTCTGCTAAATACAGCACATTCATTCCTTTTGGCTAATTACTATATTAATCTTATTCTGGTAAGTGGTGTCATATTCTTCATACACTGGTAATGTCGTCTAATTTTGCAATCCCCAATTACTTAATATTTTTTTATATTCTGCTAAAATACTACATATTCCTTGGTTTCTGCCAATTGCACATTTTCACTGCATTGTGCATTGCATTTCATTGTAAGATAAAGTTGCTCTCTGTTGGTGTTTCTGCCTCCAGAGCTGTAGAGTCTGGATCTGTGGTTGTGGGCCACCCATGTTCCTCCTTGACTCCCACTGCTAAAATTATTATTATGGTCCTATTATTACTACTACTGCTATCATTAATATTACTATTATTAATTTTACTATTGTGTGTTCTCTGTCTTCTGCTCTCTCGTTCTGCCCATGTTTTTTAAATGGTAGAAAGCTGTCTTTGTAATAGTGGTGATGTGATGCTGGAAGTTTAGATTGGCAGCAATAATGACACCCAGGTTTCTGACATGCTCACTATCCTTTAGAGGAAAGGATCATTTGGATGCAGTCTCCTGCCTTTGTATTTTTAGGTCTACTATGAGAATTTTAGTTTTTCATTTTATAGTTGTGGAAAGTTTTGAGCCGGGGATCGAATCGCCAACCTTCTGACGCCGTTCTACCCCGAGCCACAGTATTATTAAAATGAAATCCACAAAAAATACAACAAAAAAGATTTTTTTATATTTAAGGTAGTATTTGTGGTCACTGTATTGTACAACATTTAAAGGTCCAGTGTGTAATATTTCTGAGGATCCATTGACAGAAATGCAATATGAGATCCATAACTATGCTTTCAGTGGTGTATAAAGAACTTACATACTGAATTGTTATGTTTTTATTACCTTAGAATGAGACATTTCTACCTACATAGCGGGTCCCCCTTATGGAAGTCATGTTTCTACAGAAGCTTAAAATGGACAAACAGCACTACAGGTCTCGTTTCATCACTAAATTCTTCTTCTTCTTCTTCTTCTTCTTCTTCTTGTAGCATTCAGGCAGTGTAGACGCTCATCACTACATTGAATACGTACGTTAGAAGTAATAATATACAGCAGGTATCAGCAAATAAGTTTTGCAGTGGAGCAATTTTTTGACAGACAGGTTGCTGCTGTTTTCACCCAAGATGCAAATTAAAAAAATGCCCTGTGGAATGTTCGGGGTGTAAACATGTATGTATATTCATTAGGGCTGATCCCAAATAGTCGAAGATTCGATGCTTTCGAATTCGAGCTGTTGAGACGGAGCCCCACCTTCACCAGTGTTGTGCCTTTATCACCGTTGATGAACCACACAAAGAATATATAAGTTTAAAATAATATGTGAAATAGACCCACGAGCAACCGTGACGTGCGTTTAGCCGTCGGCCACACGGCATGCACGCAAAACTTGGCACAACAACGGTGAATGGCAGGTGAGCAGAGAGAAAAGGGTCAACAATAAGCCTCAGTTTAGCTGGAAATGCATTTTAAATTACAGTGGCTAATGAATAGTCTGCAGCTCTGCAGCTTCTCAAGATTAAAGCGGAGCTACCGTATGTAACCCCGACCCCCACTAGCAATCGCAGAGCACAAACCATAGCAGAAACACACCGGCCTACATGATTCAACTGTCGACTATAGGCAAGATTTGACAATTCTGATTCGACTATGTAAATCCTCTGTCAGCCCTAATATTCATAGTTTTCACGTGACGTCACATTCCAAGGAAAACGCTCCCTTGGACGGAAAAAAGACGTTATTTTCCGCTGCCTGCCAACCAATAAGCAAGTGATACACTGTTACTTTGAGTTTGTTACTTTTTGCGTTGCCAAAATGCTGGATGGTTGTTGTGCTTTCGGATTTACTAATCGAGGTAGGAGACAAGCCAGGGCAGTGTTAGGTGAGGGACTCCCCAGAAGGTCAAAGTAAACATTACCACAGTCGAGCGGCGGCAGGGACCTGGAGGTTTTTAATGGTAGAAATGTGGCAGCGGATGCTGTAACGTTATATGGATCGGATATGCCTAACACAGTTTGTGTTCATATCTTTCTTTTTCTTAAGTTGTCCAAATAAAATTTTCATGCTTTTGCGGCGCCTGTACGGGGGAGTCGCGGTGTTGGTCTGTTGTTTTACCCTCCAGTGACTGAAAACTATGAATATGTATATAAATAACTATATATATTGTTTTATTTTATATGTTATCATATTTTAATATAGGCCTACACTTAATTATATGTTGTGTGTGTAGCATGAAGGAACTTCAAATTTGTTTCGTTATGCAGCCTTGTGCTGTATAATGACTAATAAACAACCTTGTACCTTCTTTCACCATTCTTCACTGAAAACTGAACCACTGAAAAAGTTATTATAATGAAACGTAGCAGTCGGTGCTAACCTCAGTGAAAACTGGGCCTACAATGCATTTCCTTAACTTAGCATTGCTTAACAATAAAAGCCTCCATGTGATTCACCTATCCAAAGCTTTTAATGTGAAACAAGATCAGCAGGAAGTGGTCCCTTTGAATATGCAGTAACTTAAGTCTCCCTCCAATCCAAATGTGTTTTACTTATTGTTCCTTTACATAGATGTTTTGGATTCACTGTGTAGAATGAAAGAGTTTATTTTCACATGCA